GGGGGAAACAGTCTGGTGTGGTTGTGGGTGGTCCTGAGCGGGAGGGGTGTGAGGGGGAAGAAGGGAGCTTTCACCAGAAAGATGGCTCCATAACTCAGAATGCGAGTGGAGGCGGGGGGGGGCACAGAAGAGAGTTTGAGGAAATGAGGCTTCTCTGCTGAGCTGGGGGTGGGAGTGGGATGCATGCTGTGGTGTTGGCAGTGGCGGTGGCAACAGCAGAGCTGGGCAAGCGGCTTCTTTGACAGATCTGGCGTGTGCACACATGTGGGCTGTGACGGGTGGGTGCTGCCTGTGACTGCAACACCAAACAGCCATCTCCGAGAGTGGAGGGTGGTGAAAGTAGCAATGGAAACCTCAAAACACAACGCTGGAAGGGGGGAGACAAGGGGGGAGAGGGTTTGGGCAGACACATGGTGGCAGGGGAAGAGGGGTGAGCTGCTTGATCTGAACCAATGGAGGCTGAGCACACACCTAGGTGTCCCTTGTGGCACAGGGGTACATTTCCCTCTTGGTTTTGGAAATCAGCACTGCCTGCTCACCGTGCCTTTTGATCATCTTCCTTTTGGGAGGCCAGGGGGATGGTCGCAGCCTCTGGCTTGCCAGGCGTTTGCACAACTTCCCTTGTGGCAGCCAGCCAGCCAGCCAGCCAGCCCCAGCAGCACCTTGGAGGGCTCCCATTGGTTGCCCAGCATTTTTTTAAATCGACCTTGCGTCCACAGTGTGTGCCTCCCTTTTCATTCTTCGTTTGCCTTGATTAGCTGCAGAGGTGCCCAGTGCCGTGAGTGCGGAACTTGGAAGCCTGGTCAATGGTCAAAGTGCAGGAACTCCCAGCCCTGTGCGTTGCCTCAAGGAGGATCCAGATAGGATTTTCGTTCCTTTAGTTTCTCGTGACATCTATCAAAGGATGAGCTGTCAAGGCAAAGTGGGGGCATGAGGGATTTTTGCTCCTAAAAGGGGATTGATGAGATTTTCACTCCTTTCACGGCAAGATTCTGATTTTTGTCTTATTTTGCTCTAGCTTCTGGGTACCTGGAAATTTTGCATTTTTAGCCAATCCTCTAACTACTCAGTAAAATGCAAAATTGCATCCTATCCCCTTCCCAGGGAAAAAAAGGAGCTTTGATAACTAGCTTTCAAAACTCTCCCCCTCTTCTTTAAGATTAAGGTTTGATAGAGGAAAGGGTGTTGTTTTGACAGGGACATATGATTTTTAACTCACATTGTGGGTGTAATTTTTAAAATAATTAGGAGCTCTTCTTTCTCCCTTTGCACAACAGCATTCTTCGGAGCAGAAGAAATGGAGGGAGCTGGTATCCCTTCAGACAAAGGGAGGCCTCCTTCCCACCTTTGACTTTAGTTATGGTGCCATTAAATCCCAGGTCTCAGGGAGCAGAGGTCCCATCTTCCAAAGAATAGCTCTGTTTACACATTACGTGCATGTAGGGCACTCATGTGCTGAGGTGCAAGAGGGGCTGTCCACACCTCTGAGATTACATCCCGGGACTAGTTTATTCTGGATGTCCACCCTTTGAGTGTGGATGTCTGACACAGAATCTCTATGCGCAAACAGCTCCACAGCAACCCTTTCTATGTGGCAGCAGAAAATGATGTTTTGAAAGGAACTCTGTCATGAATGCTTTTGTATTTGAAGCAGCCTTCTCTTCAACTCCGCACCTGCCACAGATTTTGGACTTTGAGACCTATTACTCCAGCCAGCAAGAAACCTAGAAATTGCCATCTTAACTATCTGGCAGGTGCAGAGAAGGCTGTAGTATGGGATGGACAGGTAAAAACATACTTAGGAATGTGACTACAGCTGTGTCTGTGATTAAAATTTCCTGTTTAAAGTTCTGGGGGGTTTTTTGGGGGGGGGGGAGTAATTAAGGCTGAATTCTCCCTTAATTGCTCTTTAATTAGTCTGCATTTGTTCCTCACCTGTGTATGGGTATCCTTGCACTATTTTCACTGTCTTTCTTTCTACAACAAAAATATTATTATCTCACTATAAAAGGTATAGAAAGTAAAAATGTAAACCAATTAAGCCCTGTTCCCCTCTGTACATGCATAGGCACACAAAGAGCAAAAGCTGGCCAATTATGAGGACGACTAGCACCAGTTTCTCAGCTCTATTGAACAAGAAGCATTAGAACAGATGACAACATTTCTGATATTGCATACAGTGTTTTGCTCAAAGGGCATACTTGATATTGGAATTGGCATTGGAGGATGATGCAGATCCCACTTTTAGCTCCTCTTCCATCCGGCTGCAGCATGAAATGGCTCTAGTACTGAAGCCACCTGTGCTCTTAAGGTCGTGTTAGAAACTAGGAACAGAGGCTTGAACGCCAAGCAAGCTCTGGAGATGGTTTGCATTCGTACATCTGAATGGAGTCTGCTCTGGACCCAGTTTGCTGGTGCAGGCTGCTTCACCACCCTGTGTATGTCCAAGAGTATTTTTACATGACTACCATTGACCTCTTTTACTCTCTATTTTGACAAAAACTATCATGGCAAAGACTGACCCACAGCTTCCTTTCCAATAAGATGTGAGTTTTAAAGAGAGACCCATGGGTGTAGCAGGAGGATCATGCATCCTGAACCCAAGGAACAGCTGGTGGACAAAAGTGACCCCGTCCACTGCTCCATCTGCCTACTGTTCCTTCCAGTACCTAGAAGTCAGACGTGGTGGCCTTGTCATTCACAGCAGTCGGTTCCCACAATGGAGTGCCTTGGAATGCAGCAATTTATTTACGACGTATTTTATACTGCTTTTCAACGAACATGAAAAGCCTAGGGTGGCTTCCCTTGCAAAAGAAAAGCCAAGAACATTCTCTTTTCTGGCTTTAAAAGGAACTGTGTGGAAATACTTTTTAAAATATCAAACGCACGCACACGCGCACACATGGAATAAATGTAGTCAACTGCGCCAGTGTAAGGGAAGTGGCACCAGCAGCACAAACAAGCAAAGCAGGTTTCTGAGAAAAATAGGCGGATGTACTTTGCCCTCCCCAAATCATGAGTGGAAATCTTGCATGTTAGATAGTCCTTGATATCACCCTGAAAAATCTGCTTGAGATTAAGATGTCATCTGTTTTATCATGATCAGTTAGAGGACTGAAAATGAGAATGAGAAATTGTGTTTAGAAAGCCTCTGCCTCCTCAGTTGCCCAAGGGCCTCTTAAATTATGGCACCCTTTGCAGTCCTGGTGCCTGCAGTTCCCTCTTGGAACATCTCCCTGGTACTACTTTTCCACATCCCTTTGAGCCCCAGTTGATGTCATCCCCTGTTAGAAACACTCTTTCCTTTCTTGGGAAGAAAAAAATATTGGAGGCAAGCAGAGAGTTATTTTTGAAACTTTATTTCAATAAAGGGAGTGGAGAGTTTTCTTCCCCTTTGCAGCTCGCCAAGCACAGGTTCGCATCTCATTTTTATGCCCTGATCCCAGCCACTTCTTCCCTCCTCTTTTCCCACATCGGACAGGGTAGTGGGAGGTCACAAATCTTTTCCGTCCGCCTACCCTACCCGCACCCTATCCTGTGCCACTCTTGATACCTGTTCTTCCCCCCCACTTGGTCCCTCCCAGGCGAATTGTAATGAGCTAATTTCCTATGCAGGGTGTGTTTGTGAATAGGTCATTGAGCAAGGGCCCACTGACAAATTTCCTCCTGTCATCTGATCCCTGCCCCTCTTTCCTATGATTAAGGAATTTTCTTCGTTACATTTTCACTCTTCCTGTTTCCTTTCATCCCCCTAGTCCTCATCCGCTGCTGCGTGCCGTGCCGCTGAAGGCGCAGCATGTGCTTTTGCTCACGCTCAGGGCTCCTGACACTGTCCTTTCCTGCCATCTCCCTCCTGGATGACGCTCAGCGTATCCAGCCTTCAAGGGAGGATCATGCCCAGCCCCACCTCCCCATTTGCAGCAACGCTGCAATAAAAGAATAGCCACCGCATGTTTATCTCCCTCAGTTTTACCATGCCATAAGGTGGCGACGTGCATCATCTTCATGATTATTGGGAAGACGTGGGCATTTACGGGGGTCCTTCAGCATTGCATAGCCTGTGGGGTACAGATCCTTGTGGGCTTGTGAGCCCCTTTCCTTGTGCAGCACTTCTCGCTAAGGGTGCAATCCCGTGCCCCGCCAGCAGCAGTGCATGGGAGCCTCTGAGCTCCAAGGTGCAGGGGCCTCATATCCTGCACGTGGTCTAGCTGGTTGCTTTTGGCTGAGTGGATGAAGCAGCATGTGGCGGTAGGGAGGCTGGGGAACCCTTTGGAGAGAGTCCATTGTCAGTCCCAGCCTCCTCCTGCCATGTGCCCTGCAGGTTCCACTTGCTCCTCTCCAAGGTTGCAGAACCTCAGAACTGGGGCTCTGAATAATTCTGTGGCCCCACAGACAGGGTGGGAAGACCACTGGATTGCACCCCAAATGTCAAGGGATTTCTGTGTATCAAGGATGGAGAACCTCCACCCCACAGGCTGGGAATGGCCTATGGATTCCGTCAGTGTGGCCTCCAGCCTCCCCCCAGCTGTGCTCCTACTGCAGTTTCAGTGGAGCTCCCAGGATTGTATGATCTCCCTCTCCTTTCCACTGCTTAGCTGGTTGCCCACAAAGAGACGCTGCCCTTGGGCTGAGAGAGTTCCTCAGCCCAGTGTATATGCAATTCTATTGCCTCAACAGTGAGATAAGATAATAGCTATAAAAGTAAAGGGGCATAGGTGGATCCTATATTTCAGTAGCTGACTTACCTGCTAGGCACCCTAAGTTAATAAATATAGGAAACAATGAATTCAGGGGCAGACAATGCTCAGGGCTGTCATGGGTGGGCCATTTTGGAAGGCTTTCATTCACTGGGTCGCCATAAGTTGGAAACAACTTGCTGGCACTTCACAACAATGCTCAAAGCAGAGAAGCAGAAGCAGAGCCATTTCAAACCAAGCAATGCATTCATGCGCATTTTATTTTAAAGCACAAGCAAATGGTTTGCAAAGCTTACTGTGGATAAAAGCCAAAACATTTGGTTAAAGTCTTTAGGACACAAAATGTTGCAGTTGTAAATGCAAGGCCAGCAGTCAAAAAAGAAACAGCATCTGCAACTTGTCATCCAGCTTCCCCATGGACAGTTTCTCCCGCAGTGCTTCAATCATTCATTTTCCTTTCCAGAGATTTTACAGTATTCTGCTTTTTACCTCCTTAACGGCTTTCTATGTTAAGTAAAACAATGGACACAGGACTGGGAAAACACAAGGAGGTTTCAGGAGAATGACTATCGACCCCTCATAAATGTAAATGCCTGGAGCACAGCAATTCTGCAGCCTGGTCTAGAAGCATCCTAATCATCATCATAATCACATTGCATTTCTATACCGCCCATGGCCAAAGCTCTCTGGGTGGTTCACAACATTTAAGTCACCCATCCAGACTTCAGCCCTGCTTAGCCTCCAAGATTAGGCTTGAGTCAGGCACTTCAGGTTATACAGAAGCTTATATGCTAGTGCAGAGGGTTGTTTTTTGGCCGGCTCTTTTTTTTTTTTTTTTAAGTTTGGGGGTGGGCATCTTGCAGTGCACTGCCACCTCCACTACACCAGGCACACAGAATCAAATGCACACTGGCCTAAGGGAACCCAATTCTGTCCGGAACGAAGACTCTCCCTGCACATCAATTTCCCAGCAGTATCAGCTTATGCTAGAAAACAGGGCATGTGAAGAGAATAACATTAAGAGGGTGAGAATAAGACCTCCTTCTCCCAGTGATCTGGACCCTGATGGTGTGAGTCAGTCTGTGGGTACGGGTGTGGATGCACATATGTGTGGGTGCGTGCATGCTCACATGGCCTCCGGCACTTGTCACATGCCCCCCAGGGGCTGGCCTTGTTTCAGGTATCTAAACTAAATAGGTTGCAAAGTTCAAAGGGGGAGCATAAGAAGACAACAACAGAGCATATAAACATAGGAGAAAACCCCAAACCTGTGACATTAGGCTGTGGAGCACCTTCTAGGGCTCCCACTCAAAAGTGCAGTGTCACTGTGCCACCTCTCCTTAACAGATTTTTGTTGAAGGAAGGAAGGAAGGAAGGAAGGAAGGAAGGAAGGAAGGAAGGAAGGTGGTAGATAACCCCAAGAGGGTCACTAAGGGAAGATGACTGTAAAATTCCATAAATAAGGCAGGGTGACTACAAGATACAAAGACTTGCCTGGAAGCACCTTAGGGATGGGCAAAAGATAGAATGGGATGTACTAACAAGTATCTAACAAGTCTTACCCTCACTGTAAATTACACTACTGAAAAGAAGAGAGTTTGGGGTAACCAGAAATGAAGTTTTTGAAAGGAAGAATTGGATTTCAGTTCAGTTCGAACTCTGCTCTAAGAATTCTTTCATTTTAAATGTATAGGCCCCAGTTAATGGAACTTATAGTTCTGGTTAAAAATGGAAGCCAACATCCACTCCACTCCATACATTAGACAACAGCAGCCAGGGAACTGCTTCTATTTTGCATGACTGTACTGAGGAAAGGGAATTGTCTGAACATTGCTCAGTACTTTGCATTTCAGCAACGCTACAGTTAAAGGTCTATCTAACCATCTGTAGCTATATGGACCTTTCCTTCTTTGGGGGAGGGTTAAGGTATATGACTGGGAGTTTGCCAGGGCATAGAAATGATACATGCATTGCTATATCATTCCTATGATCATATTATTTCCAAAGATGGGAAAAAGTCAAAATTTCTGAAATGTCTGAAATGCTTTTCAAAAGTATGGAATCATTCTCACTTTTCTTTGTTCTAAAATCCTTGATACATCTCGGTTTCATCTCTTTTTTACTCTGCTTACTATTCAGAATTCCTCACATGTACTTTTAATAATGTCTATTAGTTCACAACGTTGCTAGTCCAATAGATCAACAATTATTATATTTCAGAGTCTTGAACGGAGTTGTTCAAATATACCTTAGAGGGGGCAAAGGGCAAACCTTCACAAGGGAGGATGCAGTTCTGATTTGGTAACTGTTTGGCTCCTGGCTTCACACGTGACGCCTGGTAAGATTTGTTTCCCGTTACCCGAGTCTGGATTGTTCCCATTTCAGAGTCCCACGTTTGCCCCTTGCTCAGCTTCTTTAAAGTATTTCGGAAGCCCTCTGTGTTGAAGTAGTAGATCAGGGGGTCCAGAGTGCAGTTCATACTGGCCAACAGCACCGTGACCACAAGGGCCTGGCGCACGGAATCCCGCATGAACGGGGTAGTCCTGATCACATTGGCTTTCATCATTCCATACACTGCCAGTATGATGTTATACGGTACAAAGCAGATAATAAAGATGACCAGGTTGACCACAAGCATACGGATTGTCTTCTTTTGGCGCAGCGTCTGCGTCCCAGAAGACTGGCACAGCTTCTGAAAAATTCGGACTGAGCAGTATGTCACAGAGGTCAGAGGCAGGAGAAAACCAAGGATTTCTGCTAGAATGACAAGAGGAAAAAGCCCCTTCTTCCACAGGTCATTACTGAAGCTTTCAAAGCACAGAGTGATGTTCTTATTTTGTTTGTGACAAGAAGTCGTTTTGTGGACACCAGCAACTGGAATGGAGCCGATCAAGATAAGCACCCAGATGACAAGGCACAGCAGCCGGGCCACCTTGGGGCGTCGGAAGTGACGGCAGCGTAGTGGATAGACAATAGCAACAAAGCGGTCCAGGTTGATGCACATTAGGAAGAGGCAGCTACCATACATGTTTATCTGGAAGACAGAGCCAGAGACCTGGCAAAGAAGGGTTCCAAAGGGCCACTCCCCTCCAGAGTAGAAGTAAATACGGAGGGGCAAAGATACTGTGAAGAGAAAGTCACTCACAGCCAAATTGAACATGTAGATGCTCACCACTGACTTGAGTTTTAGATACTTCAGGAAAATCCAAAGTGCAGCAATATTGAGTAGCAAACCTGCTGTAAAGATTAGGCTGTACCCAACCAGATGCAGTCGGTGATTGGCACTGTGATCCTTGCATGGCTCGAAACTAGCATTGGCCCCTGACATGCCTGTGAATCACTCGAGGGCTTCAGCGGTGCCATCCAGAATGCGAGGAGAAACAGAGGAAGGAGAGGGGCATCTCCTGCATCTCCTGACTGGTGCGCATCACTTCACTTCTTAATTCACTTTTTAATCCAGCTGCTGTTAGATTCCTACTTGTACCTCCAGGCTTTGGAAACCATAGGAGATGTGAAAATTTAAGTGTCTGTGCTATTCTTGATCACTGAATAATAAACCTAGAGGGAAATTAGAAAAGCCAGTTTTTAATTGTAGCATACTCACGAAGACAATGAGAAATGCAACCGGAGGGAGGGAGGGAGCGAGGGAAGGGGGGACCAATGAGTGGGGGCAAAATGCTTACAGGAAGGGAGGAAAAGGCAACAGAGAGCAAACATGTCAAAATAGCAGAGTATAACAGTTACTAAATATTAAGAAAAATATATAAGTTTCTTCAGATTTTCCTGTATTTCCTGTATTTTTCTACTCATAAGAACTACATCTGATATACATTAACAAAAACAATACAGTTTTTAGAGGGACTGGATTTGAACAGAGAAAAGACCTGGGTGGGGTGGCTAGCTCTCTTCTGTGCTTCTCATTAAACTTTTGCAGAAAAATTGTTTTCAGTTCTGTTATCCTACCTGTGGAATTTCCAACCTAAGAAGACTGCCTTTTCTAGCCAAGTCTGTGGGGCCCTTTAGAAACCATTCTGTACGGAACAGCTTTTATAACCCCTGGAACCTGGTAGTGGCACAACGTCAAGAGTCATCCTGGCTTTGGGACCCTTGTCTGTAGGCTAGCTGCCTGGCAGTTTCCTTTTGATGTGCAGCTTTAAATACTGCATGTTGCTGTTCCTTCTAGCATTTTTCACTAACAAGAGTTGATTTGGCAGCCAGAACTTTTAATAAAAAGTAATTTTATAAAGAAGCACACTAAGAATTCACAAGGGGACAACCTACTTGTGAAGCAGCTTCTGTCTTTTGCAGATGTAAAGCAGAATATAGAGAAAAAGTTGAAGCTTCTAGGCTGCAGGGAGTGGATGGCAGTGTTTTAATGTTCTTTGTCATGTCATTTCCTGTTTGTTGTTGTTAGGTCTTTGCTTTCTGTATGAAAAGATTAATATACAGTGAACTTATTTTAAAAGGCTTTTATAAAAATTAAAATGGTGTGATTCCTCTGTGTCTTAATGAAAAGCAATCCATATGTAAAGGCAGGAAAATGTGGCTCCTTTCACAGAGGCTGCTTCAGACTTTACATTTCATAAGTGCTTCCCTGTGAAATTTCAAGTCAACACCCTAAAAAGTATTTAACATAAATATATAACTAAATGTGGCAAGCATGACAATGCAGTTAACTGGTCAGAGAGGTGTGTTTATCCACAGTGCCCCATTGAGTGAAAACCTGCCCTAGAAAAGGCCCTGCTTTCAGTTGATGAGGAGCCCTGAGTAATACAGGGAACAGACCTACCATCTCCTGAAAGCTGCAGCTCTTTTGAACACAGTCTGCACATTTTCAGATAATTCTCCTAGGCCACAAAGACAAAATGTGGCTTAAGTTAACACGCATGCACGGGGGGTGGGGGGGTGGGGAGGGAATTAAACAGAAACCCTATGCTCTGGGTGCTGTTAGTCAGGCCCTTGGCCCAGCTAGCCTAGGCCTGCTAGCCCAGGGTGGCAGCAACTCTGCACGGCTTCTGGAAAGAAGGTATTCCCAGCTCCCACTAGATATGTCAGTGATCTAAGTTGGGCCTTTTAGAAACCATCTATTACTAAGGCAGAGCCATCCACTTAAATTAAGGAAGATATTTCAAAAATCTCAGTTACGTCTCTCTAAGGCTGACACATTTTGAGCCAACTTTTTGAGGCTTTGCACAATAAACATCTCCACCCTTTCTTCTATCCTGTGGGGTTGGTGGAGGGAGGCTCCTGATGCTACAAAGCCCTTGATGTTGCTGTTGTTGTATATATGTTTATGCAGCAGCGTTAGGGTAGCTAAACCAATTCCAAAGAAGACGTGGCTAGCTGTACTTTTTATACTGATATGGAATTTTGTTGGTGGGTTTCCACACCCGGGATGACAAGCTGCACTTGAAGAAATTCTCTTCCACATTGCCATTCAGCAAGGGACAGCAGGGCTATTCTGAGCAGGCTGACTCAGAAGGCATTTCCAGTGAGTTCCATGTAAGTATGCATGTAAGAATGCATAGGATGGCAACCTTAAAAGGTTATTTTGTTGTGCTTCTCCAGGGTCAAATAAATGGACTGGCTTTAGAGTTACAACCATTCCTCCGCTTACACTCCAGTTTCTTGGTGAATTACTTACTGTTTACTTGCCAGCCCCCAAACACACAGCAGACATTATATGAGTAAGGGCATCCTCTGCGGGAACCATTTTGTGGTGGTGCCCAGAAGATCCTCAAATTCTCTAAAAGGTCCACTGGTCCAAACTTGAACAGCTCTGTCTTAAATGAAGCACTGCTTTCTTACTCTGCCATTAATTACTGTAAAGAGCTAATGGCACATTGTACTGGGGTGTGCAAGTTGCCTGTTGAACTTTACTCTGACCATTATCAGCGCTGGCTGAGGTTCATGGAAGTTGGAGTCCCGCCACACCTAGAGGGCCACAAGTGCTTCAACCCTGCATTATGCACTAATGAGCCCTACAGTCAGAAATTTTGAGGTGCATGGAAGTACCCTGGCAGAAGAAAATGATAAATGCAAAGGAAACAGAATTTAAATACAGGCAGTCTCCAAGTTACAAATGTCTGAGTTACGAACAACCCGTACTTACAAATGAACGGCCATAAAGCCTATTAATTTTTTTAAAGTACTGCAGAAAATTGTCATTACCAGAGAGAGAGAGAGGAAGCAAAAGGGGAGCGAGGCAGGCCACCAAAGCAGGTCTTTCTGCCTTGCCCATCTGGAGAGGGAAATCTCTCTGGCCTTTTCTTGCTGCAAAGAGGAGGCCCTGGTGAGTTTGGGGCAGGGGGAGGCTGGAGATATTCACATATTTTGAATAATGGTAGTGTTATAATCTAAAGAGGCTACCCCTGTAAGATCATCAGATTCAGAGGCAAAAAGTACCTAAGCATACCCCTATTCCACATGTACAAGCAGCATAACATCTCAACTGGTAACACATAAATGTCTGGAACAGCCACTTCTTTGACTAGGAAAATTACACAATGTATTGTTTTCTCTTGTTAGGAAGGTACTTTCTGTGATCTGATATGTCCTCACTCAAATAGTATTTTACACATTGAAAAATAAACAGAAAATATTTCAAAACATAACAGCATTAGCACTGACATTTGGTAAAGGTAAGATAATGTTCTTGAATTTCCCATGTTCCTTTGACTTTCCAGTGATTAGGTCTACAAGACTTAGCCTGATTTAGTAACAGCCCCTTTCCCAGGGAATGCTGGGTGCCGTATTTTTGCAATGGAATTGTTTAACCAAAGGCTTTCATCCCAAATGCAGTCCTGATTGACATTTCTGATATGAAATTAAATAAGAGTGCCGGTAACAAGCAAAAAATGCTTACACTGTAGCAGCTGAGGGTTAGAATGAAGCCTCTGATCCATAGCCGTATCTGTCATCAGTTCAAAGAACCCACAGTCTAGCCGTTTTTTCTAGAGTAAAATTAGATGATAATCAGGAGTTATGCGAACTGGTGTGTACAATGGAATGCAGCTGTAGAATGGCGCCAATTTAGTGGAAGGACAAATGTTTAAAATATAAGATTATACCTAAAGCTGCAAGGTTTGCTCAGGAGAACCTCTTTACTAATTTTACTAATTCATATGGTGTTAATCAAGAAGTGAGTCATGGGGTTTCTTCATCAGATGATGCAGGGAGTTTTTAATTAGACAAGCTGGGAGGATGAAAGCCAAAGCAAGCTTCTTTGTCATGTTTTCTCCCCGATTTTTGAGAGAAGGAACAGGACATGAAAGAGGCACCTATTGAAAGATGCACAACTCCATGAGAGGCACCCAATTGCTTCAGGAAAGGCACTCCTCATTACCAAGGGGAACAAATGCCTTCACATCACATGATCAGCCACATGAGTTCTCAGCTATCCTAGAAATAAAAAATATGAATTTCTTCCAGTTTTTGTGTACTTCCCTTTTGAAGTACTTTCACTCCCTGCTCTGTTACTGCTATGATTTCATGGACAGCTGAAAGAGTGCATTTGTACATTTGTGAAAGAACAATGGCAACAATAACAACAACTATGAACAGAAATGAACAATTTTCAAGTGATGAAACAAAACGGTGGCAAACTAGTGATGGAAGTGCCACTTGGACATAAGAACATAAGAACATAGGAAAAGCCATGCTGGATCACACCAAGGTTCATCTAGTCCAATGTTCTATACACACGGTGGCAAACCAGCTGCTCACAGGATCAGGATTCTGTGCAAGACCTCCACCTGCTCAAGCTCCTCAGCAATTAGCGTGTGCAGGCAGGCCACTGCTAGTAGCCATTGATAGCCGCCCCCCTCATGAATCTGTCTAATCCTTTTTAAAAGCCCTCCAGATTGGCAGCCATCACTGCTTCCTGTGACGGCAAATTTTATAGTTTAACTATAAAACTATACTTATTGTGTGAATAAGTATGTCCTTTTATCTATCCTAAACCTCCCACCAGTCAACTTTATGGGATGCCCCAGGTACAATTGTTATGGGCGAGAGAGAGAAGCGTCTCCCTCTCTACTTTCGCCACACCATCCATTATTTTAACATCTCTATCATGTCTGCCTTTAACTTGCCTTTTTTCTGAGCCGAAGAGTCCCTGTTGTAGCCACTCCTCATAAGGGAGCTGCTCCTGCCCCTTGATTTTGTTACCTTTCTTTTTCCAACTCAGTAATGTCCCTTTTGAGGTAAGGCAACCAGAGCTGAACACAATATTCCAAGAGTATTGTCCACCAAAGAATTGTATAAGGGAAGTAAGATTTTGACAGTTCTATTTCTATTCTGTTCCTAGCTATGCCTAGCATGGAGTTTGCCTTCTTCACAGCAGCAGACATTTTCATGCAATGTTTCTCTGGGTTTGGACAATAACACCAACCCTTTGTGGATCAAACAATCATAAGGATAAGCCATGGATTGTCTAGGTGGTTTGTTGCTGAAAAATAAGCCATTTTGCTGGAAGCAGTCTGGGTTTGGAAAACACAACCATCCAGCATGGCCATTTAGTTATCCATGAAGGGCTGTTGCGTCGTGCAAACCAGGTCATTGAGTAATCATCACAGCTCACTTTCCCAAACCCTAACCCTTTTAGTCTATGATACTCTAAGGCAAACGTGAGTTTAGCCACATTTCATCCTGTAAATTAACTCCTGTGCGCATTGCACTCATCCCAATGCATCTACAACCAGCAGACATCTAGAGTTGCTAATCTCATTTACTCGTATCTGCCCTTTAGCCTTTAATAGCAGCTTGAATTAGCAAGGAAAGTTTTTCAGCTCATGGGGTTAAATATGATCATGCTAGCAGACCAAGCCAGTTTTCTCCTGGTTAGGTTTTTAGTTTTATGTATTTTAGAGCCACCCCTGCAGCCCCTGATCTCTTGGCAGTCACATTGAGATATCAAAGATCTGCCACAACTACCATTTTCCAGCACCAGAATCTGATCCTTTCTCCATCCTCCATCCATTCCATCTGTTTTACCTCTGTCCTTCCATAGATTTGGCGGCGTTACAAGCGTCTAGAGTCCTCTGCTTAACAGTTACGACAACTGAAGGGATTCCAGCTCAACAGCAGCAGATCGGAAGCTGCATAGGTGAGGCAGGAATCTAGCAGCCACAGAGGTCCGTCCAGACTACTGCTTTCATTCACTCTGATGGTTTCCATTTCTCCCTGGAGGAGTATTGCTGTTGCTGTTTCTTCCACCCAGTGTTTCCATTGTCTCTCTGTGATACAACTTGGCACTGACAAGACATGAACTTTGGTTTCAAGAGCTGATAAGCCACACTAGGCACCTCATAAATGTAAAAGCAAATGCAAGACTGGAGAAGCAGCAACATTCTTTGCTTGCTGAAACGGTTTTGTGTTGTGAATATGACAAATAAGGAAATGAACTAGTTCTTTGCACTTCCTGTAGACATCTACTTACTTTGCAAATAGTAAAAAAGAACACAGGCTACATTAGAGAAATTAATCATTATCCTGAAAGACATCAGAATATTTGCTGGGGGGTGGGGGGGTGTCACTCTGGGCATGTTACTCCAAGCCTGCAGCATTCATTCTGGCTCAGCTCTTTAAGATCTTCCAGATATGCTTAAAAGGTGGTGCTTTTGACCCTAAATCTGCAAAGTTTTGGGTATGGAATATCTTAGAGACTGCCTGCCTGCCTGCCTGCCTTCCCACCCACTGCCACATATTCAGCTGAGACTGAGCTAGAGGTGGCCCAAAACATGATGGTGCCTGAGAGAGAAGTCCGAATAGTGGTACTAAGAGCCAGTGCACCTGGGCTCATATCCCCATTCACCGACAAAGCTTGGCTAGTTGCAGTCTCTCAGGCTACTCTCCCACAGAAGTTGTTATGAGGCTGAAAGTGCGCGTGCACCTGCAGGAGGGTGGCCACGCATGCTCCCCCAAGCTCTCTGAGGGTGAGAGATAAATAAATTGACAAAGCAGGACACCTCTGTTCCGCTATTACTTGGCTGGCCTTGTCAAGAGTGCCTTGTTGCTCATTCCATCTGCACACCAAGAACAAATGGCAAGGACATGTAGGGAGGTGCTTTGAGTGCTGCCCCTGTGAATAGGTTCCCAGCCAGACATTTTGGCAGTCGGGAGATACAATGGGCAGGGAGGCTGAATCAGTGTGGAACACTCAGTACCCGAATGCAGGTAGCCTAATATATTTCAGTTTAAACAATTTAAAAATAAGCACCTAAATCCTTGTCAGTCAACCCAGTGCCTTTGCGCTGTATGTTTTATTCATACCCCTACAAATAAATCCATTTAGACATTCACATTTGTTGTAAGAAGCAGGACCTGCTGTTACAAAACATTGCAGTGCAGAATGCTCCACCTGCTCTGGGTTCCAGCCAGCCATGCCCTTCTCCATAATCCGTAATCAAGCTCCCTCTTTTCTCTTCTCCCACACACCGACCACCAAACAGTCATTCAGAATTCCATGCCCACTGAACAGGCCCAGTCCTCATTGTGCTCTTTGGTACCCCATCTTAGTATTTTTATTCTTTCTTTCCTAAAAACTGTACTCCTGCAAACCTTTGAATTGCCCTGACCTAAAGAAAGATGGAAAAATTTAAGGGAAAGCATAGGATGATTACGAGGAGATGACATTGTCTGGACTCCATGTAAAAGTCTGTGTAGGAGGCAGTGCTACTGCATAATAAAAACTTCACTGGGAGACACTGCATTCACACACAATGTCTGGGCGGGAAGGAGGGACAAAAGGCTTCTCAGGTTTTCAGTGTCTCTTTGCACGGACTAAGTACTGTCATGCTGCATACATGCTATCCCATGTAAATGGTTCGAGTTCTTAAATTCCCTAACCTAGTAGAAGATGTAAAGGTAAAAGAACAGACAATTACTAACTTGCCTTGCTGACAACATTCTCCTTCAGAGGGGGAAGGAAGGAAGGAAGGAAGGAAGGAAGGAAGGAAGGAAGGAAGGAAGGAAGGGAATCAACTACATACACTTGATTTTGGCCAAGAGTTATGGTGCAAGCCAGTGTCCTCTGCCCTGGTTGCATGATAGTCCCTGATGCATCCAGTATATGGCATAATGCATAGCAGCAGCAATCCTAACCCCACGGCACCCTGCTTTTCATCTAGATGTCCATTTTTTGATATCTAGATAAAGCACCATGGAGCAGGAGAGAAGGAGGCTGGGGTATTGATAGGATCTGGCATAAGACAACAATCTCAGCCTCCTCTCCATCTTGCTCTAGCACACCCTTTTGCCTGCTTTTCGAAATGTTGAAAAGGCAGCCAGTGCAATTCCAAGGTTGGCAGAATAAGCCTCCACCCCCACAGACAATGTTGGGAGGCCATAGGATTTTATCCATAGTTAAAGAGATGAAAGTAGCAAGGACTGTGGGGGAACCATGTAATTCTCAAGTTCTTGATTTTAAGGACAACTGAAACTGAGTGTGGTTAAATTTATACCAGAAACTTCAGGAAATTTAATGTTAATAAAGTCAGAGTAACTATCAGTAGGATCCCATTGGTGGAAAACCTGAAAAGAAGAGAAGTTCAAGTGGAATAGCATTTCATAAAAAGAGACAAACTAAAGGAGATAGTAAATCCCAATGGGGGAAAAGTAGAAGGCTACAGAAGATGTTAGCATAACTACACAAGAAAGTAACTATCTGAAAATATAAAAGGATGCCTATAAGATATGGAAGGAGGGACAGGTTGCTAAGGAGAGAAAAAAAGCCTGGAATTGCAAAGATGGACCTGATTTGTATGACACAGCCAGCCATTTTGAAAATGCAAAACCCAATGAAGGCTATCAGGGATTGTTCAGTAGTGCAAACCCAGGTATTATGGGTTAAACAACCCTTGCATAACCCTAAATGAGTAGTAGGCATATACTGTCACTCATTATGAATTAAATAATTCAAGATGATATAGTCATGTCATGCAAACTGGCTTTAGTGTCAGGAAGGCTAAAACACAGATTAGAATGAGCTGGGGTGCAGGGCTGTTAAGAATAACATAAAGGACTTCTTCAAAAAAAGGACAAAATATAATGATAGACCAGCTACCTAGTAAAGATGGCAACATGATGACAGGTGACCCAAAAGAGGAAGAACTGTTCAATTTCTGTTTTGACTCATTCTTCTCCCAAAAGAGGATCTGTGGAAAGTATGTGAGAAACAGGCCAAAAGGATAGAAGTGCAGCTTCAGGCTGACAGCACTGGTCAGGGAATATCTAGTCACTTTAAATACATTCAAGTCCCCAGTTCTAGATGAACTACATCCCAGGGTGCTGAATGAGCTAGCAGATGGACTTATAATTTTGTAATTTGCCCTCTTCTGGTACTTTACCCTATCATCTCTAAGAAATGGGTAAGGTACCAGAAGAGGGCACATTACAGAATTATAGGGTAATTATAGACCAGCTGATCGGACATCAACATGTGGAAACATTCTAGAATGGATTATAAAGTGCTCAGTGAGCCAGTTTGCACATAATGGCAATTCCTGGCTCATTTATTCCCTCTAGGACCAAGGATGTCTCACTTCTGGGTGTAAGCTAGTTACTGGGACTGATTTTAGCATCTATATCCAGTGTAAGACAATCTTGCTTATCCTTTGTGGTTTATACAACATACTAATCTGAGGCCTTTAATTAAAAAAAAAAAAAAACTCTTTTAAGTCAGAAGCCTGCAGTTGCTCTGTCTGTGTCACCCACTTGCTTTAGCCCTTGTTCGGGGGGAGCACAGCAGACTGGCCTCTTGATTTCTGTCATTCACTGGAAGTGTCTAATAATATTCCTAGTCTCAGGGAACTAAACACCAGAACTCTAGGAGTTCATCCTCCCCCAAACCCAGGTGGTTTTTAGGGTGACCTCTCAGCCTGTTTCTGCCTTGCCAGAATGATGGAGCACGCAACCTCTGTTGTAAGAACAAAGCCCCATTTATATTTCTAGGCACTGATGAGGTGAAGGTTAAGGCTCTGAGGAACGAGGGAGCAGATGGTCTAACAGGGCCAGGGACTTCAAGCATGGAACTGCAATGAAGATGTCCATTATTCTACCGCAGGGATGGGCAGCATGTGGTCCAGGGGCAGCCCGTGGTGCAGGCTATTGAAGCCTGATGCAGATGATGATGATGATGATGCATTTATATACTACATTTCAGGTGATCAAAGCACATGCATGATCTCAGAAACGCTCAAGAATGTGCAAATATCCCTGCTGGGTCAGAACAAGGGTCCCTGTCATCTAGCAATCTGCTTCTTATACTGATGCCTCCAGAACACCCACAAGCAGAAACGAGCCCCTTCCCATTTTGTTCCTTCCCTGCAGCAACTGCTTTTGATCACTGATGCTCCATTATGACTAATATTCCCTGTCAGACCAACCCTACATTCATGTGTCTAACCTTTTCTAAAAACCATCTAAGATAGTGATCAACATCACGTCTTGTAGCAGCTATTTCCACGAAGTAGCATTTTAAAAAAATGCTTCCTTTTGTCTGTCCTGAACCCAGGCTATTAACAACATATTTCATTGGATGACTTTTCTCTATTTTTTTGAGAGGGAGAAAAGATTCTCTCCACAACTTCCATAATTTTATAGACTTGTTGCCCCCTAAGCTAGATGGGACTAGATTTGAACCTAGAATGTCCAGTCTCCTTGCTTCCACTCTTAGCCACAAAACTACACCATTTGCCAAGAGGAACCTACTGCAGGGCTTCCAAAAGGAAATATTTAAAAGAAATGTTGCAGCGTGCCAACAAGAAGTTAAGTTCTGACCTTTGGGAATAAAATGGCACTCACGAACAGTGCTCCAACCCTCCAAATTTTAAATTAGGCCTGCTCAGAGTCCCACAAAGCTGAATGATAACAAAGGCCCACACAGTTTTGCTGCGACCATGAGCTTTGTTGGAGGAGGCTCTTGACAGTGTGCTGTGAATTCAGAATTAAGATTTACCTACCTCTTACTTGGTTCCCTCAGTCCTGAGCTGCTGGTGAAGTAGCAAAAAACTGCCACACTGTGTCCTATCTTAACATCTTAGGGAAAGCAGAAAGAGTGTATAAGTTTCCTCAACCCTTTCCTGATCTGGCAGCAGGTAAAACCAGACTACTGAGGTGTGTCAGGGTGTGTTAGGAGCTACGGATCCCAACATGTCTCTGGGACTAGGTGTTCCAGATATCTTAAAAATAATACTAATCTACTGCCCTAACTTCATGGGATATACCCTCCAACTTTATTTGACACAAATAGAGATAGTTGCCTTGTCCATATAGGACTCACCTCTTCCCTTCGGTGGAGGCTTTTCCCCACAGCATGCT